TAATTGCCAATGAGCACTAACCCTAAACTGGGGGCATAGCGGGATGCCTTGGCAAAGAATAATGCACTAAGAATAGACCATTTGCTATTTGGCAGCATGGGGTTTGGTGAACAGTTAAGTTTGCCGAGTCTGGGACATCAACCCACGTTACAACTGCATTGAAAAGTAAAGAAAACAAGAGGAAACAAGTGTATGTAGCACTTTTCTGCCTCTGCTAGCGGTTAGTAGCAAAAAACACTAGCAAGAAGGCAAGCACAAGACAGTATTTCCCCACTAACCCTCCTGACCCTGTGGGACTGCAGGACTTCCTGCCTCAAGGAGACTATCTTTGTATTTTATGGATTTCTCCTACAAATTTGTCCAATTGCCACATAAATAATTAGAGCTGTGTGAAAAAAGGGGATTTTTTTAGGTGTTGCCTGAAAAAATGACCTCTGATAATTTTATGTCCTCTTCATTGTTCTGAGAAACCCTACTACACAATAGATCCATATTCACTCACATGCACTCATGACTGCACGTATCTCTGTCATCAGCTACTCATTTCTCTGCTTTCCAGAGTTAAGAAACCAAATTATTTCACCATTCCTGTATGGAAGCCATTCCACACCAGTAATAATCCTGGCTGCCTTCCTCTGCACCTCTTCTAGTTCTATTACAGCCCTTGAAATGGAGGGTCCTGGACAGCGAGGGACTAGAACTGCACAGAGTATTCAATGAACAGGTATTTATTTTACTTACAGCCATAATGTTGTTTCTTTGCTCTTTAATTCTACTCCTAAAATTTGGGGGGTATGCTTTGCTCCTAACCACTGAATCCAACATTAGCATAAAGCTATTATAGTTCCACCATTGATTTTCTGACTGGTAAAAGCTATTTCAGAGTCTGTCACACTACACAGAGTCACAACTACAAGCCCTCCCCATCGCCCTTGTATGATGTTGCAGTTATCAGCTGAATTTCATCTGACACTTAGTGCCCACGCACTCAGAACGGTGAGGTTCTTTTGCAACTCTTCCCACTAGTTCTCATGGCTCCTCATGAGCCAATTGTGTCACCTCTCAACACTCCTTTCCAGAGCATTTGTGATTATTTCAACCACAAAAGAACTAGAGCGCCAGAAGCCGAATCGGGCCAGGTTTGTTTTCTTTACTCCGTATTTAGTTCTTCCTTTAAAAAGGCAGTTTTGGAGGAGGGGTCAATAAATGAAGAAACTAGGTGGTTGTGTTCCCTGTGAGTCACATTCATAGTGCCTGCATAGAGCATGATATTTGCTAATTACATTGCACTTTATAGCACTAGGGCAATATGTGAATATTCATTAAATGAATTAGTGGGTTTCCCAAGCAATGCCCTGATCGAGTTGCACAGGAGGACCCTACCGTGTGCAACCATATCGCCCTTCTGCAGTGGAAGAGACTCTGTGTCAGCGTCTACAGTAGTGGTGCATGTAGCCCAGGCTTTACTTGGACCTTGTGTTACATTGCACAGGAAGCACAGACCCTCCCTCTGCCAGTTCAGGAGCTGCTCAGTGCCCTAGCAGCCCAAGTCCTGGGGTACCGCAAGATACCTGGCATCCACAGGCTGGCTCCCAAAGCCACAGCTGTATCCTTGAGTCCATGGGGAGAAGGGTAGGACACGTGGGAAAGAAACAGGTTCTCTCTTTAGCCATATTGGTTTATTATCCCAACTGAATAGCTTCTGCAGGAAAACAAGCCTCACTGCCAGCCTCTACCAAGTGCCTACCATCTTTAGCAGCATGTCCATGCCCATCTTTGCAAGTCTCTGCCTCAGCTCTGTGGCAATCTCTGCATGCAGGTAGTGCGAAATAGGCTCACTCTCCTGAAATAAAGACAGAGCTGGAGTCAAACACACTCTATGCCCCACCTTCAACCACACCTTTACCTAGGTGCCCAGAGTTGAGGGAAGGTGATAAGAATACCCTAGAAAGGACCTGCTCAGTAGAGGATGTACCTACTGTGATGGAGAACATGAGAGAAGCAAGGGTTTGTTCTTTGGAAAGGGTGTGATACAGCCTGGAGCAGAAATATTCTTGCCAGGATCACATGCATGAAAACTAAGGCTGAGAGTAGCTTTGGTCTGTGACTCAAACATCCACAAGGGAAGTGAGGCAAGCATCAGAAAGCATCAGATTGCTCAGCTCCTTGCTTTGACCCACCACAGAGGAGAGTTGGAGCGTGGTGTTGGTTTGCAAAGCACAGGCAAGCACATGGTGGCTGGACACTGCTGATCTGCTAGGTTTCAGGCCAAGTGTTCACTTCTATATGGAGATGTCTGCCACCTGTCTTCTGGGATGCACTGTTTACAAACAAAAAGAGTGGAAGAGACACTGAGGAAGAACACCAATCTCTTTAAGCAAGTAAGAGAAAAGCATCCTTCTGCCTCTGATAGCTCCTTCTCAAAAAACATCTCCTTGGCATGTTCTCCTAAGGGCCTTCTCACAGCTACCACCGCTCCCAGACCCCACAATTCTTACCTCAAATGTTTCCACTAGAACGTCAGTCGTTACCAAAGGCCGAAGGGGACTTGGAAACTTTACAAAATCGACATCTAGAAAATTTTGTCGGAAGCGCTCCAGATTTCTGGCTTCGTAGCGTAAGTCAATCTCAAGGGAGATAAAGAAAAAGCGGGTTGGAAATTAGATGCAATTAGAACTAGATCTTCAGGATCCCATATGAAGATATGACTGTATGGTGCAATACCAACAAAATAGTTAGAAAGCCAGAATGAAACCAAAATAGAGTGATGCTTCTTACACGCTTATAGCTTTCCTGATGGAAGAGTAGAGTAACAGACGGCTCAACAGACGGCTCACAACCCAGCACCTTCAAAACACAGGTGACTCTTAGTATAGGCACTGTCTCTCAAAAAAGACCAGGACTGCATTATTTTGAAGGGTAAGACAGATCCTGAACCAAAGCTTACTGTCCAAATAGCAAGCTAGGCAGACAGGATAGAACTGCAGCTCTAACCTCACTTTACAGATAGGCAGCCATAGCAGGAAGAAATTTAATGTAACACATACAAAATAATCCACTACGCAAAGTCCTGGCCCCAGCTCTTCAGTGATCCAGTGCCTTGATGCAAGGGCATCTCTCCTGCCCACTAATGCTGCTCAAGGAGGCAGGATAACTTTGCCTCACCTCCCTCATCTGGCAATGGGAAATATCCCAGGAATACTTATTGTTCGTTCAAAGAGAAATTAAAGGAAATTACAACACGCCTATCAAATGCTCTCCTAATCCTCAGTCTTTGGAGTACCCACCAAAAGCTCTGCCAAACTGGTACTAATGACATCAAGTCACATCTGAATACAGTCAACAGTTTACAACACGGATTTGCCATGTAGATTTTTTGCAATAGTAGAAAAGAATTAAGGCTTTCAAAAGCTTGTAACAGACTTCACACTCTGCAATCTAGACACAAAAATGAAATTAGCAGATAATGGTTCATTTTAATAGAAATGTAAGCCTAATTAAGCCTGTAGTAAAATCTTTGTATGTTTGGTAGTAAGGACCTTTCAGTACTGTGTCTTTATAAGACATTAGCAAGTCAGAACATGTTTTCGGATCTGTTTGCAAAGCTTAACTTTGCCAATACTGAGTCTGATAATGACACAATATAGAATGTACTGTTAACTCATGTAAAAGTACATTAGTTATGCCAATATATATACCTCAGTGCTAACAAACATGACCAGTAAGTACAGACTACAAACATATATCTAGAATTAAAGAGAAAAAAATGCATCTGAGCACTTGTTTGGAGAGATTATTTGCCTAAGGAGAGGCCTCTCACCAGTGTTCATCTTTCACAATGCTGCAAAAAGGACTGTGACTATGGTTATTGAGCTGTTCAGGCTGTTCACTAGAAAACATACTCAAAGTCTTTAAAAGAGATTTAAAATATCTAATAAAGATTGTTAAATTTTTTTCATTGCTTTGCTTTTTTACTCTGTGAGCATGTAAGCTTTCCTACAGTAACATTACATGACTGATGAGAAGAAAGAACATAACTGACAAGCAAGCCTTCCTCTAGCCCTTTCAGAAGTAGCGGTATGAACAGAGTTAGAGCCAGCCACTAGCAAGACAAAGGGCAGTTTTGTTTCAGTATGTGGAGACCATGGCATGGCACGCACCTGCTGAATCATAAGCTTCTCAAACTCCTCCACGATCTCTGTCAAACTAAGCCACTTGAATCCAGGGATAAGTCCAATGATGTGGCTACCCATCTTCATGAGGAACAAATCCATCTGGACTTGGTGAACTAGCCCAGGGTGCAGGACCTGCACAAGAATGAATGGTGGCAAGATCAACTCCCCAAACACTCCATTTCAATCAGCTCAAGTGATACATTCCAAATAGACAGAACTCAGCCTACAAGACTGGGAGCTAACAAGGCTTCCACAGCTAGTCCTCAGAATAATTCACATTTTGCCATGGATTAAGTTGTAAAGAAACATTTTATAATTGTCAATGGAATATATCTGTGCTGGAGACTACAGTCTCACCCAATGCCATTTTCTATTGCTTTTGCAGTCCCACCCTCTCCATGCCATGCAGTACTGATCAGTTTTTGGAACATCCTGGATATAAGATTTCTTTAAATAAATTTTGCTGGAGAGAACTTATCTGTTCCAGATTCCTTTATGTGAGCAGTAAAAGGGGTTCATTTTATGGAAGGTGAAACCAAGCTTAATATTTATTCTTTTCATATAAACTGGGCCCTTGCAGGCCTTTCTGGTATCCACATGCCACGTCAAATGGTGCCATAGGTGGTGTGCGTACTCAAGCTTTCTGGGCTGGGAAGAGCTGGGGCCACCGCAAGCCTGGATTGCGGCTGGCTGGAACCAAAGCACTGAGAAAAGACACCGAGAGAGACAAGCATCCTTCTCTCACTCTACCTTGCCAGCCTACACATGTCCCTTGGAATTAAAATCTAATTGGCCTTGTCCAGCACACTCCATTTTCACACATCTACCAGTCAGATGCATGACTTACTTTAATGGCTACAGGTGTGAGATGTCTGGCTGATGAAGGATTTGCATTCAGGAGTGGTTTGGCCATCTGCTCCATAAGGGGCATCCCACTCACAGGACTTCCTTGGAAGCAGTCTGCTGGGCTCAGCTCCTCCCTGCTCCTCTTATCCTCGCTCTTCCTCCTCCTCAGCCACCTGAGGAAACCTCTAAAGCCTGACACTTCCCACGCTTCAAAAGTGGATCTTAACTCTGAGCATCGTGCTAGCTCCTTGGCTTGGGAGCCGGAGATAGCAGTGAGGTCAGCATAGGCTTTATACACCTGGGCGACACAGCCTGAGCCAACAGGTTCCCGGCTCTGGAACTTGAGGATGCCCGTCCAGTCCTCACCAAAGGCCTTCCTTAGGAGCTCATCAGTGTGGCCCCACGGGTGTGGGCTCACCTCAACGTGCAGCTTGGAAAACTCATCACAGAAGGCCTCAGAGAAGAGGTCCCTCCGGGTACTGGCCCACTGGCCCAGCTTGATGCAGGTGGGGCCGGCAGCCTCGGC